TGTACATTTAGTACACACGTTGGGTCATTTCGTCATTTGCGACCCAGAGGTGAATTTCGGAGTTATGCCAGTTAAAGAATACACATGAATTGAGGCAATACACAAAACTTATTCTCTAGACGCCAAACTTTTTTTAAGAATAGAAAAAAGACCGGTATTTGACCAGGTGCTCTTAGTATTTTAAAGAAAAGAAATGTGCAAAACACGAATGACTCAAAGGTGTGTATTAATCTGTAGAACATGATATTAAAAAATTTTACGCTTTATGAAATTTATTATCACATTGCAATAAAATTTTAATGAGAATTTCTTCAATACAAAAAGTTTAAAATTATCATCTATTTTCTATCTCCATCTCTATCTTCAAATTTGTCTTTATCGTACATTCAAAATAATGGACATAAATAAAAAGAGACAATTAACCAATGCTAAGTAGATAATTTGCAGGCGAGGTAATCAAACATTCAATGCCGTTTGAAAAACTTCCGTACCGTACTATCGTTCTTTACTCCGAATAATATTCAGTATCGATGATGCCGGATGAATTGTTATTGTTCGTTTGAGCATCGATCGAGCGTGTCTCATCGTACCGTAAGGTGTTTCGCGAGGAATCCCAATAAGGAATCCTCTACACACACATACTTACCTTTGTGATATCGATACTGACATTCTCAACCAATATCGAAAGAAGTGCCTTCAGAATCTCAAGATGACCAGGAGAGGAGAAGCGCGAGTGAATCGACGTGAGTGGGTGTTGAATGCTGAAGCAGGACGTCTTTCATGCGCTACCACATATATACGAAGGCTGATAAATAAATAACATGGAGTTGGAAAGGCAAAAGGGGTAGTCGCGAGCTGCCCGGTCAGGAGTTGGACGGCAGTAAAAGGAAGTAATACTGGCCCGTGAAAGAGAATCAATTCAATTCGTACTCATTCCTTTCTCCGCTCTACCCTTTCACCACCCCGACTATCTTTCCTACGCTCGTAACCCCGGTGAGTCGCTCACCGCCCCACGGTGGTCGTTTCTTTCCGCAGTCCTCGCCGTCGACCTTCTCCTCGCCCTCCACCTCGCGGCGCAACAAGTGCGCGCCGACTCGCATCTTTAAGAAAGCAGTCTCGTACCCCCGATCCGCCCATCTTCACCACCACCTCCACCACCTTCGGCTTCCAACTTTGGCTCGAGCCACCGCGTCGCCACCTAACACCGTCGTTTCACGACACAGCCGAGCATTTTCCTCGTCTTTTTTCTCCGCGTCTTCTACGGTCCTGTTTCTTCTCTTTTCTCACCCTTACGTATCCTTCATCCCCTTAGCCAAGCTGCGACTACCTTCCAAATCACTCCATACTCTCCCATTTCTTTCTCTTCGTTTTCACTTTCTCTCCATCTGTTGTTCTCCTTCTTTTTTCTGCTATTCTTCCCTCAGAAATTGCTTACGCTTCCACGCGTTCACCTTTTTTCCCTCTCGCTGATTATATTCTCTTTTGTTTCTCGTATTCCTCATCCGACAATACGTTTTATGCACACCTGCGGAAGATGAGAGAGTACGGCGAACAGACTTGGCGAGCGAAAAAAGACAGACTTTGCGGCTCGATTAACACGAATTCGAAGCACCGATTCGAAAATTTTTATAGATATCTCGCAGTTGCGAATAATACAGGATGAAGGCTTGGAGAATGAAATGAACACTTGCTGTCCGTTAAAGAGAGTGCAATATAATCGAGATGAGTATGATTTAACGCAAAATTTTCGAGAGAGAGAAATCTGCTGTCCTTATCGCTGACTAAATTTTAGAAATTATTTGTAATATTGCGCTTAGATCGATTTCAACTTGAATAAATCAGATAAGCGATGAAATTGACAGTCTTAGATCTTATTAATTAATAAAATACAAAAATTTACAAAGAAAATAACTTGTTGCAGTTGTGCTCCATTTATTGTAATTTCAAGTTTATAGGGTGGTAGAAGAAAAACGTCTTAAATAATTTTTGTTTAAATATTTATCTGTAAATCGTAAACTCATGACTAAATTTAAACTATAAAAATCTACTTTTCTATAATAATGTCTTAGTAATTCCTTCTTTTCTGAACTGTTTCTTTGACAGACAAGATCAGGCCTGTCCAATTTGAGCTCCAGAGCCAAAAAGCCATTGACGCAAAAAATTCAATGTAGATAAGATTTCGGGGACCGTAAAGTGTTGATACGCATTTAAGTGATGCTTATCAACATTTAATAGTTCCTAAAATCTTATTCACATTGAATTTTTTTACGTCGATGGCTTTGCGTTTTGGCTTCGGAGATCAAATTGAATTCAGACTTGGCCTAGATAATAATCGAGATTTATTGCTGCAAAAATAAAAATGTGAGATTTGGAAGCTGCGATAAGCGAGAAATTTAATGAATACCAGCGTGTCGCGCGGGACATTGCGCGTAACTACATGGACATCTGCGACCCTGTCGAACGCGACATCGGATCGTCATTCGATGAAACACGCTGAATTTATTGGCGGTTTAATGCCGCTCGGGACGTTTATAGGAGCGCAATAAATAAAGTGGAGCGCGCTATTACGAGTGACAGGAACGTTACCGGAGGCTAAAGTGGTTGGAAACACTGTGTCGCAGAGGCGCAGCATGATCGCGCGAGCCCGATGTAGCCGATTGACATTTTTTTTCTGACATAATTACTACTGCAAGTAATATAGAACGAATCCGATAAAAATAAATTTTCCGTCTAGAGTTTAATTAAATTTGAATTAATCAAACTAGTGTTATCACAATTTTTAAAATACACACAACAATATCTAGATAACTATAGACATAAATGAAAAGTAAATCTACAAAATTTTTAATAAACGAGTTGCTAGATTGTAAAATAAATCACCTATGTAATTCTATCTGTTCCACGCTCTGTTAATTTATCTTGGCAAGATTACAACAAACTAAGTTATAGGAGTGCCATATCACTATCTGGAAGCGAATGTAACATCCGAGGAAGCACATTGACATTGTCGTCTTCGATCCCAAAGGCATGCAACTTCCTCAAGAACGACCCTTCCTGTCACGATGATCGACGAAGCCGCTGAGCGAATGTGCCAGTTTAACGATCAGGAAATTCGACGAAAAGGAAAGTTATTAATGGCTAAAGTTGGACGATGTTGGAAACGACGGCGACGTGCGCGCACAGCGGGGCGAGACACCCTCTCGATTACAAAGCTCGCGAACGAGAAGTAACTATACGGACAGGGTAGGGTTACAAATTGCGTCTGAAAGTTGCCCCGTTGCTCTAGCGGGATAATGGATTCTGGAATAAACGAAACTGCCGCCGGGCCATAATTTAAACGGATGCAGTGCCGCGCAGTGGATCCGCTTTCGTCACGCGCTTTCGAGCCGGGCTCGACATCGAGCGAGCGAGAGGCTGCGAAGTGGCAGAAAATCAATCGGACACCCTGGGACACTTCGGGGTACCTCCGCAAAACGAGAGAGAATTCGCGGCTGCACCCAGTAACCGTGCACGTGTCGAAAGAGAGGGCGGCATCGTGCGTTCGAAAAGTAACGAATACGCCTGTAAACGCCCTGTAAAGCGAGTCGTTTCGCGGACAGCCGCAAAAATCGAGTAAAAAATACGGTCAGTCTGTATGAACCATTTGTACGAAACTGTGATAATTCGCATCTCGATCACTTGCACCGTGAATTGCTATCGTGAAATATTCAAATACATTATAGGTAATCAATGTTAACAAAAAACAACTTTTCTATAGATAATTTAGATTTAGAGATTTAACATAAATATTATTGTCCTGTTTTTCTTTTGATTTTTTAACTATTATAGAACATCTATAAATTTTTAAGCATAAATATCTATGTATAGTAAAAATTATACATGCACTTTCTAAATTCTTTAGAGTGGAATCTCATCTATAAAGAGTGAAAATTAAGTCAGTCTTAAAAAAGAGTGGCTCAATTTTCACCTTCCAAAAATGAAATTTTACTCTTCAGAGTATGCTTTCACTCTAAAAGTTTTAGAGAGTGCGTTTTTGTAGAAAAAGAAATGAGATAATCTTATATCAAATTTCTAGCTCGTCGCAAATTCTTGTCTCTTTCTCTACCATAAGTATGCACATAATTCATGATTTTTCGTTCAACACAATATTCGGAGTTTAATAATATTTCATAAACAATGACATTTTGGAGTTTGCATTTCTCGTCGGACATTTTGCATAACACGTTTCGCATTTATTTCCACGATGTGGAAGAAGCTCGCGAATGTAATCGCAAATTAGTCGAATCTCGTTACAGTGTGTAGAGGGCACGTTGTGAACGCATTGCATTTGAATTGTAGAATGCAAGTAATAGGTCGGCGAGTTTATTTCCGCGCGAAAGCAGCCGTATGCGCATCCTTAACGCGGATTACACGTTCAGCTTACCACACGCGTGTGTGATGTGTACAGTTACATGACACTGTTAAATTTTATGTGTGATCTAACAGACGTGTTACCTTTACTATACTGCAGAGAAGCGAACGTATAATTCTCGATGCAGTGCTTTGTCATTTTTACGCAGATTTTACGACGATTCTACCAATTTTATCGAATACCTACTCTGAAAAGTACACGCTTCCAAGTTAACACCAATTTTTTTTTCCAAACCATTCTTATTGATTAATGATAGGAATTATTAGAAATTACTGTTCCGCTAAGACACCGTCTCTTATCTCACGTAATATCCGTACGATATATTCTTCGTTAATTATCAGCACGATAGTTTTGCTGGTTTTTTTCTCCGCAAACTACCATCTCGCATACACTTCGAGAATTCATTAAATTCAACCATCGAACTCGATAATAACCCAAGCGATTTAAAATCAAAGAAATTGATTTTCGAAGAACGCAACTGAATGACCGTAACAAGTGCGCGCGGGACCAGGATCATTTGCATGGGTTCGGCCCATCTGATTGGATTCGCTCACCACCAAAAGCACAACCCTCTCATGTTCTTACTTACCGCGAACAAGGATGAGGATGCTGAACAGCAGCGCGGTGCTGAACGGCCAACCGGCCATCCTGGCGTGGAGCGTTACGTCGATTCAGCTTCCTCCTGAAACAATACAAGCATGCCCAATCAATCAACCCGTCCGCTATACCGCTATCCCAGAGCCAACGCCGATCTCTGCCTCCCCCCCCCCTCTCTCTCTCTCTCTGTCTATCTCTTTCTTTCATCCCTTCGTCCCTCAACGTAAAACCGTTGTCTGTCCCCATCCTCGCCGTGCGGGCCTCATCCTACCTTTCGACTCCTCCTCAACCCCCGCCCTCTTTCCTGGCAGACTGCCCGTTCCACGTTCAACCTCGTCCTCATACCCTTTTCCCCTCGGTACCAGCCAACCTCATCCCACTTGCACGCCAATCCTCTACGCCCCGTATCGACAATTTTTTTTCCTCCCTCTCGAATCCGTGCCTGGGGGCTTGTCCGCTCAATGAAAGTCCTCCCAGACGGTGCACGTCGAGCGACGTACATAATCGTGAAACATGCGATGCGTGCCACACCAGCTTGGCGCTTGGAGTATCGGAAATGCCCTCTCTCGCGTTTGCGCGCGCGTTTTTTTGCCGTTCAACGCAAGCCGCGAGGTCCTCGACCTCACCAAAGGTCCTTGAACAGCTCTGTTGGATTTAGGGATTCGTCATATTAATGACGATTTGTTTAATTAATAGTCTAATCTAATATTAATATATGATGATAGTTTAATACTTGGTTTTAGCGTCCAAAATCCAGAAAATATTATATTTTCGATATCTCGTTGTAATAGAAAAAAAGTTAATGCAATCTTTGTAATTACATATAAGCACCATTTTTCTTTATTCATTGTAGTACGTAGTAGTAATAATGTATTTTTTATTATTAATTTATTATTTATAACATTCATTCATAATTAAAGCATTAATTATAATCACAAGTAATAATTCTATAAAAAATTAATTATAGATTAATTATACGGTATAAATCGATTATATTGTATGTAATTTACTTATCATGAATGTTGTATTATAATATAATATTAATAATCAATTTAATACAGAGATGTGAATGGCACATAAGAGACAACGCAATTAAGCATGTATATAAGTTCTATAATGTAATATTGTTTTTTAAAATTCTAAGAGTCCTCTCTGTACTTTTTGTTATTTAATTTTAATCAATTTAATTTTTGGTTTTATCAAATAATAAATTAAAATAAAAATTTGAAGTTTAATACTAATTTATTCAACAATTTTGTAGACCTTCAAAAATTTTTTTAGCATCTGCATAACATATTAACTAAAATTCTACACAAAATATATCGACTAGAAAATTCACAAAAAGTTTAAATTTTTCTTCCCGTGGAAAGATAAAAAAAATAGTATTCGTGTTTTAAAAAATATTAATTCGTATAAAATTTATAAAATCGTATGCTTCTTGAATAGACGGTTTTCAATCGCTACGAGAGTAACGAGAAAAGAAATTCTAAACTTATTGTAAGTGACAGTACAAGGAGATAAAAGTTACGTAAAATATACCGATACTTATTAAGTACAAGTCGATCTGTGATCACAAAAGTGCAAATTACTCGATGCTAAGGTGTTCATCCTTGTACATTGAGCAACGTTCTTTTTATAGAGTTAAAAATGCTCGCGTTTTTCACCATGTCCTTTACGGACTTCATTCAAAAAGACCGAATCTGGAGCATTCGATTCGCTTCACGGCGTCGCGGTTGCATCACAGTAAAGCCAAAGGGTGACCCACACAGCCCTTATGCACTTCGTTCGCATGTATACACGAGCGATTCATGAAGATGTAGTTCTTCTATCTACCTTCGCTCGTCTCCGGTTATTTCTTTGCTGAATATTTTTCGAGCTTCTACTTGTATACGCCGTGGAGCAAGTATAAAGAAATGTACTTGCATTCCACTCAATATGAAGGAGAAATATTAATTAAAAAATTAAAATAAATAAAGAGTGTTTCCTCGAATAAAAGTATCTAGTTTATTATGCATGTTCTTGTATTTTTTTTTATTAACACAACTCATTAATTAATATGAAGATATATTTTTTTTATTATAGCACATCTTTCAGGCAGCGCAGAATTAAAAACAAAAAATAAAGAAGATATATTAATAAAGATATATTAGTTTTATTAATGTAAACATGGAGATGATAATAATTTCATAAGAAAAATAAAATAAAATTAGTTATTTCTTTTTATATAAAAGTTAGAATAATTCTTAGCAGAGTCTGCCAGGATAAGAATATTTTTCTAAAAGAGGAAAATTAATTCTAAAAGACGTCGCTATTTATATATATATATATTTCAATCCTTTACTAGTCGAATATATGTACATATATGTACTGTATACTTCAAAATGACTTGAACATTTTTTACATTACCAACGCAAAGGATTAATCTGAAATTTTAAAGATTGCTGAACGAAGGAAAAATGTTAGAAAATGTATATATTCTGAAAGTTATGCTTATCTGGGAGAACCAACTGAAACACACACGTGCGTTTCCTCTATTGCACAAAACTGCCCTTATCCGAACACTGCCAATGAAACGGACCACCAGAAAGCAATTCCACCCTGCTCACAATTAAGTTTACGAACGAGATTGAGTGTTCGACCTACCATTTCCTCACGTCGAGACGCGAGAATTGGATAGAAACGACAAACGAAAAAAAAAACCGAGAAAGAATCGATCGGCCGAATTGGACTTAATAATACACAGAGACTATGACCCAGTTATTTCCAAGCAAAATGTCGAAGCTGTCGAAGATACTCGATCAGAGATACGCTCTTAAATAGGATACGATAAAAAAATTTAAAAAATTGTATGATCGACCTGCACACGTCGAATTAAATTGTACGATAATATAATTACAGTAATTGTTAATATAATAATATAATATAATTATACATTAATAATATAATATAAGATTAATAGATAATGTAATTACAAATTATACGATAATATAATTACATGTTAATTAATTAACATAATTAGAATTTTAAAAGGCGAAAGTGCCAAAAAATTTTTCTCTATTTATATTACACATTTATTGAGAAAAATATTAAAAATATTAAAAATATAGGTCATTACTTTTCAGTAGTTATATCTGGTCAAAAAGTCAAATTAAAAATGTAGCGTAATTTTCTCAAGATTCTACGGAAATTGCGGAATCCTACGTACACGCCGATAGTTTCGCGCGTTTTACGCGTAAGCTACGAAACTAATTAACGCGTTACGGCTTGCGTAAGCGCGTAACGCGATATTAAACGTAACGCCGCGATGGCGTTCATGTTTAAAGGTGCGGTAACGTGGATGGGGAATTAGATATACATGCCCGAATGCGAGAGGAGTCCAACTCGTGTATAATTCACACAGCGGTGGTAACAAAACGGCACCGTAAACTCGCCTTAGTAAATCACTTGCTCGCGCCCGAGGGATTCGGAGAATATTCTATAAGGATTGGCTTTAGGTGCGATGAATCAAATTACGGCGGCGACTGCGTCGAACGAATAATCGCGAAAATATCGACTGCTTGGTGCGTTCCGATTTGCACGGGCGCCCACCCAACCTCACGTACGTATCTCCTTTGTGAGATTATTCGCATGAATAATACAGCATTTCCGTGCCACGAGCCAGATGCAGATTCCGCCCTTATAAGCCGCGGCGAATTCGCGGATTTACGACTTGTTTTATAACTTTCGTCCCCGTTCAAATTGTCGCGAGATTATATCTACAACTATAGCACGACATCCACGACATTAATATGTCACTGAAAATAGAGAAAATTGATATATGTGTGTGTGTGTGATATAACGTAAACGAATAAAATAAAATTATGCACGCGGACGACATTTTACTAATGTGAGTAAATATTTTAATTGTTGTGAGTATATACTTGGTGAGTCTGAAAGGAATTTGATGAGAGATAATTATGGACAATGTCGCGCGAGCTGCAAAGTTAATTTCCAACTTTCTATTTTACTATCTGAGGCATTAAAACATTTCCCGCTAATTTTGTACGAGCAATTTACAACAGTATGAAATAAGCTGTATACAAACAGGTATACATAACTAATAAATAAAGAGTGAAAGGGATTTTTTCAGAATTTGTAACCCGAAGTGTATCCGTACATATTCGTGAGCAACAAAATCCGCATAGTATGCGACGCGGATCATTAGCGCGAGTAGTCAAAGATATATTTTTATGCGGGTCGTATTAAAACCCAGGCAGTTCAAAGGTCTCGGCATCCCGTACAGGTGCATTCATTCGCTGTCGTGGCGACGGAATTAATACCGGCTAGCTTAATGGAAGGAAGGGAACAACGGAACGCCGCGTCGCGACACAACGAAAAAAAGACGACGGCGGCAACCATGGCGATGGTTTTATCCCATCCCGACGACGCCACCACCATCATCGCCGACATCAAGAGTGTATTCTTCCATCCGGTGACTCGTCACCCTTACGAGTTCTTATTCCCGGCTCCTCTCGCTTCCTTGGCTCCTTCTTCGCCAACGCGCTCATTTATCTATCCACGTCCTTCCTTCGTGCCGACAATGCTTTTTCTCTCGCGTACCATACCATTGCTCGAGGCATCTTACGACGCGGATCGCAATATTGGACTTTTGCATCGTAAGAAATTACAAGAATTATAACGGTTGCTAAACCGTCTCAGTGTGCGAGAACGCGGCAGACGATTCGAAGACAAATGACGAGGGATTTCATTGCTCTTCGAGCAGTTAGTCGAATCAGTAGTGTAAGTCAGTAATAATACATCTGTTCTTTATCGATAAACTCTCTAACTGGTGCACATCAGTGCAATATGTTGAAATGGAACAAATATAGTTCAACTTATTGCACCATGTGCACCAGTTCAGAGTTTCTCAGAATAGATCTAATAAGTACTTAAGTACTTTCGGAAAGTATAATGGATAAGCATTTCATTTTTCGTTGTTTTCAACGACGGAAATAATACCTTCGGCCTTCTAACAGTTAAATATACTTGCAGCACCTGTTATGCACTTTTCGTTTTAATTCGTCTTGTTTTGCAGCGTAATACGAT